TCCGCTTATATTATAAATATTGCGTTTCAGGAACAGAAAAATGATACGGACTCGAAGTATTCGTTTCCTAAAAATGATTATTCTTTTGGAAATGATGATTTTGAACCAATCGATTGGGCAGCTGCAAATCGTAACGCTGTAAATATTAAATAATGAAAACTACACAAATATGTTTTAAATATTTAATTTCTAATATTAATATTGTTTAATATGTTAATATTATATATTTATTAACAGGAGGAATCTCGTAAAGCGCGATGGGCAAATGCTCCAAAACTGACAAAAGATTTTTATCGTGAAGAGTCAGAAGTTGCTAATATGACGATGAAGGATGTGAATGAGTTGCGTCTTTCTAACAATAACATTACCGTTTCTCGACTCATAACAAGTAAAGATGAAAAGTTTGATGACATTCCTAATCCAGTTTGGAAATTCGAGCAATGTTTTAAAGATTATCCTGATCTTCTGGAAGAGATTAATAAACAGAACTTTACTGAACCCTCTCCAATACAGAAGCAAGCATGGCCTATATTATTAAAAGGAGAAGATTTGATAGGTATAGCCCAAACAGGCACAGGTAAAACCTTAGCATTTTTGCTTCCAGCTCTGATTCATACTGATGGTCAACCGAAACCTCGCAACGGTCCGAACATATTAGTACTGGCACCAACGCGAGAATTAGCACTACAAATAGAAAAAGAAGTAAACAAATACTCGTTCCGTGGAATGAAAGCGTAAGTTGGGAAAAAATTAACTGATACGTACTATGAAAATAAATTTGTGATTTTATATAGTGTATGTATTTATGGTGGCGGTAGTCGACGTGATCAAATTAATGATTTTCAAAAAGGTGCTGAATGCATTATTTGCACACCTGGACGACTCAATGACTTAGTTCAAGCTAAAGTTATTGATGTTACAACCATAACATATTTAATATTGGATGAAGCAGACCGTATGCTGGATTTGGGTTTCGAACCACAGATTCGTAAAATTTTACTTGATATACGTCCTGATCGACAGACCGTTATGACTAGTGCTACATGGCCTGCAGGTGTTAGAAGACTCGCAGAAAGTTATATGAAGGACCCTATACAAGTGTATGTTGGTTCGCTCGATTTAACAGCAACACATACAGTAAAACAAGTTATTGAATTCGTAGAAGAAGACCAGAAATTTAATGTGGTAAAATGACTAATAAACTTAGGTATTCTAAACGCAGTTAATTTTATTTGTTCAAGGTCTTAAGATTTTTAAAACGATTAATGGGAAGTGATAAGGTTATTATTTTCTGTGGTAAGCGAACTCGTGCTGACGATTTATCCAGTGAACTTTGTTTGGAAGGCCTTTCAACACAATGTATACATGGATCACGTGATCAGGTTACTAATATATATATTACCTATTGTTACGGATATATACTCCAAAAAAAATTTTTACATGAAATTATATAATACAAATATTTTTCAGGCCGATCGAGAACAAGCAATTGCTGATATATCGTCAGGTGATATACAGGTGTTAGTAGCTACAGATGTGGCTTCAAGAGGCTTAGATATTGATGATATAACGTAATTGCTTAGTAATATTTATTATAGAAAAAGTTTAAAATGTTTTTTTTTAGGCATGTTATTAATTTCGATTTTCCACGTAATATTGAAGAGTATGTTCATCGTGTTGGTAGAACTGGACGCGCTGGGCGATCCGGCACTTCCATAAGTTATATAACACGCTCAGATTGGGGTATTGCAAAGGATCTCATTCGTATTTTAGAAGAAGCTGGTCAAGAAGTTCCAGAAGAACTACATAGAATGTCCAACCGTTTTGACGAGATGAAAGAAAGACGTGGTACAGATTTTAAAAGGGGTGGTCGTTTTAATCGCCGTTACTAAATAATACTTTTTTAAACATAGTACGAATAATCACTATTAAGATTAACATGGTAACAGCGCACCTTGAAAACAACATTGCATTTTGTTTTTCACATTGCAGAGGTAACATGTTATTCGATAAACAAAATCGTAAATAACCCTGTTTGATTCGAACCGATGAGTGTTATACTTAAAAGAACGTTGATCGTTAAAATTGAAAATTAATTAACAAACTATTTCTAATGTTATTAGTATAGTAATGTACAATAAGAAAAATCTGAAATAAAATTAATTAAAAATGTGTATTATTTAAATTTAAATACAAAATTACATTTTAGAATAAGGTTTTAAATAAGAAATATTTAAAATATGTTTTTTATACAGTGAACTTTGTTAATTTAATAAATTTAATCAATTACAACTTTATGATGATTCTATTGTGTTCTTACTTTTTCGTTTGTGAAAGTTTTAACTTTTTCCTGAAAATAAGATATTTTATTTGAAATTTTTTTAAGATGGAGATTAATTATTTGTACAGGCAATGATGTGAGTTAAATATTGTAATCGCTATATACGATTTTTAATCAGAGGCTGATAAAGTCGATTAAATTTCTGTATTAGTAAGTTTTCTAGTTGTTTCATTTAAAATGAATTTTAATAGGATTCAGTTTTAATAGGATTCATAAATGTATTGGATGAGGTATAAAATGAACTTAATATAAAATATATATTTTTTTCACATTATACATTTTTAATTTGAATGTTATTTTAAACAGACAATTGATAGACAATTGATCACTGCTCAAGTATAGTACTGTAGTCAAGTCAAGGTCAAGTCAAGCCAATGAATGCCATTATACTAACTTGAAATCTTTACTATCACTTCGAATGATCATTTCTCACTAAGCCATAGATAAGACCTCCTAAGAAATCAATTCATCTGATCAGTTCATAAAATTATTAACAATGTCAACATAGCGATGGCGCGAGGACCGTTATCGATGTCATTTGAAATAAATCTTTAATTTAATAAATTTAAATAATAAACGTCATTTAATTTAATAAAATTTGTTAAAGTTGTATACATATTTATATAATCTTATATGAAATATTTAATAAAAGTAGCTATACGCAGATACTTGTTTCCATGGCTGTCTGATTGAATGGAAAAGAAAGCAATGAGAAAGCACGCTTTCCATATATTGATAAATTTTATCAATAATTTTATTGTATTATTCCATTGCGAGTGTAGATATATATTGTTCGATTTGTGGACTATAGAACAAGTAACATATAGTTGTTCATGTGGAAGATTATCTGTGTTGAGAGTTGAACCACAGTATCCTAAATAATGAACTAAGCTCACTTTAGATGGTGATTGCAGACGCCAATAGAATTGTGAATTGCAATCTTTTGAATTGAAATGGAATATCCGTTAGAATTATTGGATTGCGGAGATTAAAGACATCTTTACTTTTGAGAGAGGTCTGTAATATTTGTATGATTAATATAATATTGTTATATATGATAACTGATACTACGATTTTCAATCACAGTAAATGGGGTAGAATCGATTACGGTTAGAGTGAATTAAAAAATTCTGTTTGATATTTAATCTGTTTGTATGATTTCTTATTTACATGTCGGTTGCTAATTAACAGAATTTCAAAGTGAATTGATTAGCTCTTCAAAATGATGTAGCATTTATCATTATCATTTTGGAATGAAATTATTTCTCAATATTTTATAACACTCGCGACAAAAGATTGGCCATTGATAAATCAATAGACACAAAAGGGAAAACCAAACGATATATTTTGAATAAATCACCGCCTATTGCACAAAAAATATAAAAAATCATTAACATAATTATTAATATAATGAACTCAAAAACAATCCGAGCTACTCTGACGAAATAGATCTTTAATTTTGAGATCTCTAGTTGCCTCTTTCTCTGCAAATTTAGCAGATTTTTCATTTACGTTGGTATCAGGTACAGGCACAGGGTTTTGACGACGTATTCCAGACGTAAGTGCTTCCAAAATTTCTTAAGAGATCACATTTTTGTTTTTTTCCACGACTGATCTCTGTTTGACATTAGTATGACATTTTTAATGTTGTACCTTTTGCAGCTCTTACTTGCATTATAAAAGACATGTTTGTCGTTTTCTTCACTGTTAAGCAAAACACGATCAGAAATACGGCTGGGTCGTTAATCGAGGTTACTGTTGTACGAAGTAGCTGTTAATCGAGTTATTAGTGTATAGGTTCTTCTGAGACGCTCTTCTCAGAATGCTAATCGGTACATTGTTCTTATCAATGTAACCGTAATTTTATGAATTGAATTTGATATGATTATATGAATTTGATATGAATATGTCAGAACTTTGTAAACTTTTATAATTTAACACATGTAGTATGAAAATAGTATGTGGGCTTACCTATTAAATAGTGTGCTAATCCGATTTATCCCCTTGTGAAATTCATTTGTGTCCAAAAAGTCTAAACCAAATTAATATAGTTACATCACGCAAATTTGAGTATGGGCTGCCAAATGTATTTATATTAATTTTGAAAGAACGACACAAGTTTTCTTGTTCATTGGTTACTTTTGCAAGAGACGAGTCGGTGGTCGGATCGTTTTTTTAGCGGCTTGTGTTTTTTCAATTGGATTTGGTTTTAAGGCTGGTATGTATCTTCCTCCAAAAAATTCGTGTTTCGTGATTCATGATTCGTGATTCGTGATACTTGATACGTGTTTCATGACTTCAGTTCGAATATATGTTCAACTTTTTTCAATTAATTCTGGAACTTGTTAAAAATATTTTATAGTATTAAGAATTTTTGATTTGTTTTCGCAACCGACAAGAACTTGAAACAGCCGCCAATTTTGCTTGTTCCAAGAAATAACTGCAAATATAATGCACATATTAAACAAAAAGTTTTAAAGAAATCATTGTTTCTTTATTTAAAGAATTTTAAAACTATAATTAAAAAACAAAAATTAACTATAAAAAAAAATCACTGCAATTCACATATATTTAAGGTTATGTGACGTATTTGCAAAAAAAATCTCCATTTGAAATATTTATATAAGAATCATTGCGTGATGAGACTTAAGAAGGCGGCGGCAGTATTATTTTCGACATACTTTAAACATAAGAGTGCAATTGCTTTATTCCCTAATAATCAATGTTAAACATATTTTTAATTCTAATAGTCAATTTTAAATACCGTTTCATATCTTATGATTGAGGAGTTCGTAAAAGCGGTCGCGATTTGAATGTTTGAAATTTGGTTCGTTTTATAGAAAACGGAATAATCAGGTATTCCTTTATTTAGATTTTGCTTACTTCAAAATGGATACTTTTGGAACTGGTGCAACTCAATCTGAAAGGAACGAGTGTGGAGTTTTAAACTCAAACTTAAATCATTTTGATGATTTTATGGAGAAATTTCCTGCAGACCCTGCTTACATTGGTGCCATAATTGGTCGTGGCGGTTGTAAAATTAAAGAAATTAGAACAAACTTCAACGTTTATATACATATAAACAATGACACCAAGGAAATTTCTGTCAAGGGTCGTAATAGAAAAAATGTTGACGATGCAGTCAAATATATTCGTGATATTATGTCTGGTCAAGAAAATAGAAATTTTTCATTTCCAAATCACGAAGTCTCGCACAATCCCAAAGTTGTATTAAAAGAAAATACAATGAATCGTTTTAATGCTTCTTCCGAAAATGACAATATTCAGGTTGCAGCTCCAAAATCTGTAAGTATAAATTAAAAAGAAGGAGAATATGGATATATATTAATATAATATCTCATAACAAAATTGATTTAGGGAGAAAGTGGTGGAATTAGATTAAATGCGCCTACGAAAAATGTATATAATGGTGGCGCCGAAAACCATGTAGTATTGCAGCCTATCGATTGGGAAACTTTGAATAGAAAAGTTGTAAGAAAAATTTTTAAAATCTACATATTAAGTTATCGATTTACCATATTTATTTTGCTCACATGAGGCATTTTTGATTACAGGAAGAACATCGTAGGTTACACTGGGCGCATCTGCCAGACTTGAGAAAAAATTTTTATGAAGAAGTAGAGGAAGTCGCTATTAAGACAGAAGAAGAAGTGAATGAAATGCGTTATTTAAACAATAATATAAGTGTTTCCCGTTTGGTGACAAATGAAGATCAAATGTGTCCTGATATACCGAAACCAATTTGGAAATTTCAACATTGTTTCAAAGATTATCCTGATATCCTTGATGAGTTAAAGAAACAAAATTTTAATGAACCATCACCAATACAGAAGCAAGCATGGCCTATATTATTGAGAGGCGAGGATATGATAGGTATAGCCCAAACAGGGACTGGAAAAACTTTAGCATTTCTGCTTCCTGCTTTGATTCATACTGATGGACAGACTACACCACGTGAGAAACGTAATGGTCCAAATATATTAATTTTAGCGCCAACGCGAGAATTAGCATTACAAATAGCAAAAGAAGTTAACAAGTACTCGTTCCGTGGAATAAAAGCGTAAGTTAGGAAATAGTTAAACCATAGTTTAAAATGAATGAAGAAAAAAATTATTCAATGAAGAAATTCTTATTCAGTGTATGCATTTATGGTGGTGGGAATCGTCGTGACCAAATTAGTGTTTTCAAAGAAGGAGCTGAATGCGTTATTTGTACTCCTGGACGTCTTAATGATTTGGTTCAAGCTAAAGTTATAGACATTACATCAGTTACATATTTAATACTAGACGAAGCGGATCGTATGCTGGATATGGGTTTCGAGCCACAGATCCGAAAAATTCTACTCGACATACGTCCTGACAGGCAGACCGTCATGACTAGTGCCACCTGGCCACCAAGTGTTGGTAGATTGGCCGAAAGTTATATGAACAATCCTATTCAAGTGTGTGTTGGTTCGCTTGATTTAACTGCCACTCATACTGTGAGTCAAAATGTAGAACTCTTGGAGGATGCGGACAAATTTAATACGGTAATATTATTTGAAAACTTAAATAAGAAGAATTATGAAGAACAATGTATTTATTCTTGCTGCAGGTCCTTGCATTTTTAAAAAACCTTAAATCAACCGATAAGGTTATTATCTTCTGTTCTAAGCGAGCTCGTGCTGACGATTTGTCCAGTGATTTATCTCTAAAAGGCCTGTCAACACAATGTATACATGGTTCTCGTGATCAGGTACATAATGCATTAACTTAATTAGAGTAATGTCTCAGAATATAAAATTCTTATAAACTTAAAAAAAATTGTCTTTAGACCGATCGAGAACAAGCACTGGCTGATATAGCGTCAGGTGATATACAGGTTTTGATAGCGACAGATGTTGCTTCAAGAGGTTTAGATATTGAGGATATTACGTAAGTGCTTAGTAGTATTTGAAACCGAATTTGTTGTATTAATTGTTTTTCATTTAGTCATGTTATTAATTTTGATTTTCCGCGTAATATTGAGGAGTATGTTCATCGTGTTGGTAGAACTGGACGCGCTGGGCGAACTGGCACTGCCATAAGTTATATAACACGCTCGGATTGGGGTGTTGCAAAGGATCTCATTCGTATTTTAGAAGAAGCTGGTCAAGCAGCTCCAGAAGAACTATACAGAATGTCCAATCGTTTTGAGAAGATGAAAGAAAGACGTGGTACAGATTTTAAAAGGGGTGGTGGTTTTAATCGCCGTTACTAAATGATATTTTTTTAATATATGGTAGGGGTATTATTCGATAAACAAGATCGTGAATAACCCTGTTTGATTCGAACCGATCAGTGTTTTACTTAAAAAAGTGTTGATCGTTAAAATTGAAAATTAATTAATAAACTATTTCTAATGTTATTAGTATAATAATGTACAATAAGAAAAATCTAAAATAAAATTAATTAAAAATGTGTATTATTTAAATTGAAATACAAAATTACATTTTAGAATAAATTTTTAAATAAGAAATATTTAAAATATGTTTTTTATACAGTGAACTTTGTTAATTTAATAAATTTAATCAATTACAACTTTATGATGATTCTATTGTGTTCTTACTTTTTCGTTTGTAAAAGTTTCAACTTTTTCCTGAAAATAAGATATTTTATTTGAAATTTTTTTAAGATGGAGATTAATTATTTGTACAGGCAACGATGTGAGTTAAATATTGTAATCGCTATATACGATTTTTAATCAGAGGCTGATAAAGTTGATTAAATTTCTGTATTAGTAAGTTTTCTAGTTGTTTCATTTAAAATGAATTTTAATAGGATTCAGTTTTAATAGGATTCATAAATGTATTGGATGAGGTATAAAATGAACTTAATATAAAATATATATTTTTTTCACATTATACATTTTTAATTTGAATGTTATTTTAAACAGACAATTGATAGACAATTGATCACTGCTCAAGTATAGTACTGTAGTCAAGTCAAGGTCAAGTCAAGCCAATGAATGCCATTATACTAACTTGAAATCTTTACTATCACTTCGAATGATCATTTCTCACTAAGCCATAGATAAGACCTCCTAAGAAATCAATTCATCTGATCAGTTCATAAAATTATAAACAATGTCAACATAGCGATGGCGAGGATCGTTATCGATGTCATTTGAAATAAATCTTTAATTTAATATATTTAAATAATAAACGTCATTTAATTTAATAAAATTTGTTAAAGTTGTATACATATAATATTTAATAAAAGCAGCTATACGCAGATACGTGTTAACATGGCTGTCTGATTAAATGGAAAAGAAAGAAATTAGAAAGCACGCTTTCCAAATATTGATAAATTTTATCAATAATTTTATTTTATTATTCCATTGCGAGTGTAGATATATATTGTTCGATTTGTGGACTATAGAACAAGTAACATATAGTTGTTCATGTGGAAGATTATCTGTGTTGAGAGTTGAACCACAGTATCCTAAATATTGAACTAAGCTCGCTTTAGATGGTGATTGCAGACGCCAATAGAATTGTGAATTGCAATCTTTTGAATTGAAATGGCATATCCGTTAGAATTATTGGATTGCGGAGCTTAAAGACATCTTTACCTTTGAGAGAGATCTGTAATATTTGTATGATTAATATAATATTGTGATATATGATAATTGATACTACGATTTTCAATCACAGTAAATGGGGTAGAGTCGATTACGGTTAGAGTGAATTAAAAAATTCTGTTTGATATTTAATCCGTTTGTATGATTTCTTATTTACATGTCGGTTGCTAATTAACAGAATTTCAAAGTGAATTGAGTAGCTCTTCAAAATGATGTAGCATTTATCATTATCATTTTAGAATGAAATTATTTTTCAATATTTTATAACACTCGCGACAAAAGATTGGCCATTGATAAATCAATAGACACAAAAGGGAAAACCAAACGATATATTTTGAATAAATCACCGCCTATTGCACAAAAAATATAAAAAATCATTAACATAATTATTAATATAATGAACTCAAAAACAATCCGAGCTACTCTGACGAAATAGATCTTTAATTTTGAGATCTCTAGTTGCCTCTTTCTCCGCAAATTTAGCAGATTTTTCATTTACGTTGGTATCAGGTACAGGCACAGGGTTTTGACGACGTATTCCAGACGTAAGTGCTTCCAAAATTTCTTAAGAGATCACATTTTTGTTTCTTTCCACGACTGATCTCTGTTTGACATTAGTATGACATTTTTAATGTTGTACCTTTTGCAGAAAGTTTTATGGTATATTGATTCTCAAACCAGCTCTTACTTGCATTATAAAAGACATGTTTGTCGTTTTCTTCACTGTTAAGCAAAACACGATCAGAAATACAGCTGGGTCGTTAATCGAGGTTACTGTTGTACGAAGTAGCTGTTAATCGAGTTATTAGTGTATAGGTTCTTCTGAGACGCTCTTCTCAGAATGCTAATCGGTACATTGTTCTTATCAATGTAACCGTAATTTTATGAATTGAATTTGATATGATTATATGAATTTGATATGAATATGTCAGAACTTTGTAAACTTTTATAATTTAACACATGTAGTATGAAAATAGTATGTGGGCTTACCTATTAAATAGTGTGCTAATCCGATTTATCCCCTTGTGAAATTCATTTGTGTCCAAAAAGTCTAAACCAAATTAATATAGTTACATCACGCAAATTTGAGTATGGGCTGCCAAATGTATTTATATTAATTTTGAAAGAACGACACAAGTTTTCTTGTTCATTGGTTACTTTTGCAAGAGACGAGTCGGTGGTCGGATCGTTTTTTTAGCGGCTTGTGTTTTTTCAATTGGATTTGGTTTTAAGGCTGGTATGTATCTTCCTCCAAAAAATTCGTGTTTCGTGATTCATGATTCGTGATTCGTGATACTTGATACGTGTTTCATGACTTCAGTTCGAATATATGTTCAACTTTTTTCAATTAATTCTGGAACTTGTTAAAAATATTTTATAGTATTAAGAATTTTTGATTTGTTTTCGCAACCGACAAGAACTTGAAACAGCCGCCAATTTTGCTTGTTCCAAGAAATAACTGCAAATATAATGCACATATTAAACAAAAAGTTTTAAAGAAATCATTGTTTCTTTATTTAAAGAATTTTAAAACTATAATTAAAAAACAAAAATTAACTATAAAAAAAAATCACTGCAATTCACATATATTTAAGGTTATGTGACGTATTTGCAAAAAAAATCTCCATTTGAAATATTTATATAAGAATCATTGCGTGATGAGACTTAAGAAGGCGGCGGCAGTATTATTTTCGACATACTTTAAACATAAGAGTGCAATTGCTTTATTCCCTAATAATCAATGTTAAACATATTTTTAATTCTAATAGTCAATTTTAAATACCGTTTCATATCTTATGATTGAGGAGTTCGTAAAAGCGGTCGCGATTTGAATGTTTGAAATTTGGTTCGTTTTATAGAAAACGGAATAATCAGGTATTCCTTTATTTAGATTTTGCTTACTTCAAAATGGATACTTTTGGAACTGGTGCAACTCAATCTGAAAGGAACGAGTGTGGAGTTTTAAACTCAAACTTAAATCATTTTGATGATTTTATGGAGAAATTTCCTGCAGACCCTGCTTACATTGGTGCCATAATTGGTCGTGGCGGTTGTAAAATTAAAGAAATTAGAACAAACTTCAACGTTTATATACATATAAACAATGACACCAAGGAAATTTCTGTCAAGGGTCGTAATAGAAAAAATGTTGACGATGCAGTCAAATATATTCGTGATATTATGTCTGGTCAAGAAAATAGAAATTTTTCATTTCCAAATCACGAAGTCTCGCACAATCCCAAAGTTGTATTAAAAGAAAATACAATGAATCGTTTTAATGCTTCTTCCGAAAATGACAATATTCAGGTTGCAGCTCCAAAATCTGTAAGTATAAATTAAAAAGAAGGAGAATATGGATATATATTAATATAATATCTCATAACAAAATTGATTTAGGGAGAAAGTGGTGGAATTAGATTAAATGCGCCTACGAAAAATGTATATAATGGTGGCGCCGAAAACCATGTAGTATTGCAGCCTATCGATTGGGAAACTTTGAATAGAAAAGTTGTAAGAAAAATTTTTAAAATCTACATATTAAGTTATCGATTTACCATATTTATTTTGCTCACATGAGGCATTTTTGATTACAGGAAGAACATCGTAGGTTACACTGGGCGCATCTGCCAGACTTGAGAAAAAATTTTTATGAAGAAGTAGAGGAAGTCGCTATTAAGACAGAAGAAGAAGTGAATGAAATGCGTTATTTAAACAATAATATAAGTGTTTCCCGTTTGGTGACAAATGAAGATCAAATGTGTCCTGATATACCGAAACCAATTTGGAAATTTCAACATTGTTTCAAAGATTATCCTGATATCCTTGATGAGTTAAAGAAACAAAATTTTAATGAACCATCACCAATACAGAAGCAAGCATGGCCTATATTATTGAGAGGCGAGGATATGATAGGTATAGCCCAAACAGGGACTGGAAAAACTTTAGCATTTCTGCTTCCTGCTTTGATTCATACTGATGGACAGACTACACCACGTGAGAAACGTAATGGTCCAAATATATTAATTTTAGCGCCAACGCGAGAATTAGCATTACAAATAGCAAAAGAAGTTAACAAGTACTCGTTCCGTGGAATAAAAGCGTAAGTTAGGAAATAGTTAAACCATAGTTTAAAATGAATGAAGAAAAAAAATTATGAAATTCTTATTCAGTGTATGCATTTATGGTGGTGGGAATCGTCGTGACCAAATTAGTGTTTTCAAAGAAGGAGCTGAATGCGTTATTTGTACTCCTGGACGTCTTAATGATTTGGTTCAAGCTAAAGTTATAGACATTACATCAGTTACATATTTAATACTAGACGAAGCGGATCGTATGCTGGATATGGGTTTCGAGCCACAGATCCGAAAAATTCTACTCGACATACGTCCTGACAGGCAGACCGTCATGACTAGTGCCACCTGGCCACCAAGTGTTGGTAGATTGGCCGAAAGTTATATGAACAATCCTATTCAAGTGTGTGTTGGTTCGCTTGATTTAACTGCCACTCATACTGTGAGTCAAAATGTAGAACTCTTGGAGGATGCGGACAAATTTAATACGGTAATATTATTTGAAAACTTAAATAAGAAGAATTATGAAGAACAATGTATTTATTCTTGTTGCAGGTCCTTGCATTTTTAAAAAACCTTAAATCAACCGATAAGGTTATTATCTTCTGTTCTAAGCGAGCTCGTGCTGACGATTTGTCCAGTGATTTATCTCTAAAAGGCCTGTCAACACAATGTATACATGGTTCTCGTGATCAGGTACATAATGCATTAACTTAATTAGAGTAATGTCTCAGAATATAAAATTCTTATAAACTTAAAAAAAATTGTCTTTAGACCGATCGAGAACAAGCACTGGCTGATATAGCGTCAGGTGATATACAGGTTTTGATAGCGACAGATGTTGCTTCAAGAGGTTTAGATATTGAGGATATTACGTAAGTGCTTAGTAGTATTTGAAACCGAATTTGTTGTATTAATTGTTTTTCATTTAGTCATGTTATTAATTTTGATTTTCCGCGTAATATTGAGGAGTATGTTCATCGTGTTGGTAGAACTGGACGCGCTGGGCGAACTGGCACTGCCATAAGTTATATAACACGCTCGGATTGGGGTGTTGCAAAGGATCTCATTCGTATTTTAGAAGAAGCTGGTCAAGCAGCTCCAGAAGAACTATACAGAATGTCCAATCGTTTTGAGAAGATGAAAGAAAGACGTGGTACAGATTTTAAAAGGGGTGGTGGTTTTAATCGCCGTTACTAAATGATATTTTTTTAATATATGGTAGGGGTATTATTCGATAAACAAGATCGTGAATAACCCTGTTTGATTCGAACCGATCAGTGTTTTACTTAAAAAAGTGTTGATCGTTAAAATTGAAAATTAATTAATAAACTATTTCTAATGTTATTAGTATAATAATGTACAATAAGAAAAATCTAAAATAAAATTAATTAAAAATGTGTATTATTTAAATTGAAATACAAAATTACATTTTAGAATAAATTTTTAAATAAGAAATATTTAAAATATGTTTTTTATACAGTGAACTTTGTTAATTTAATAAATTTAATCAATTACAACTTTATGATGATTCTATTGTGTTCTTACTTTTTCGTTTGTAAAAGTTTCAACTTTTTCCTGAAAATAAGATATTTTATTTGAAATTTTTTTAAGATGGAGATTAATTATTTGTACAGGCAACGATGTGAGTTAAATATTGTAATCGCTATATACGATTTTTAATCAGAGGCTGATAAAGTTGATTAAATTTCTGTATTAGTAAGTTTTCTAGTTGTTTCATTTAAAATGAATTTTAATAGGATTCGGTTTTAATAGGATTCATAAATGTATTGGATGTGGTATAAAATGAACTTAATATAAAATATATATTTTTTTCACATTATACATTTTTAATTTGAATGTTATTTTAAACAGACAATTGATAGACAATTGATCACTGCTCAAGTATAGTACTGAGGTCAGGTCAAGGTCAAGTCAAGGTCAAGTCAAGGTCAAGTCAAGCCAATGAATGCCATTATACTAACTTGAAATCTTTACTATCACTTCGAATGATCATTTCTCACTAAGCCATAGATAAGACCTCCTAAGAAATCAATTCATCTGATCAGTTCATAAAATTATAAACAATGTCAACATAGCGATGGCGAGGATCGTTATCGATGTCATTTGAAATAAATCTTTAATTTAATATATTTAAATAATAAACGTCATTTAATTTAATAAAATTTGTTAAAGTTGTATACATATAATATTTAATAAAAGCAGCTATACGCAGATACGTGTTAACATGGCTGTCTGATTAAATGGAAAAGAAAGAAATTAGAAAGCACGCTTTCCAAATATTGATAAATTTTATCAATAATTTTATTTTATTATTCCATTGCGAGTGTAGATATATATTGTTCGATTTGTGGACTATAGAACAAGTAACATATAGTTGTTCATGTGGAAGATTATCTGTGTTGAGAGTTGAACCACAGTATCCTAAATATTGAACTAAGCTCGCTTTAGATGGTGATTGCAGACGCCAATAGAATTGTGAATTGCAATCTTTTGAATTGAAATGGCATATCCGTTAGAATTATTGGATTGCGGAGATTAAAGACATCTTTACCTTTGAGAGAGATCTGTAATATTTGTATGATTAATATAATATTGTGATATATGATAATTGATACTACGATTTTCAATCACAGTAAATGGGGTAGAGTCGATTACGGTTAGAGTGAATTAAAAAATTCTGTTTGATATTTAATCCGTTTGTATGATTTCTTATTTACATGTCGGTTGCTAATTAACAGAATTTCAAAGTGAATTGAGTAGCTCTTCAAAATGATGTAGCATTTATCATTATCATTTTAGAATGAAATTATTTTTCAATATTTTATAACACTCGCGACAAAAGATTGGCCATTGATAAATCAATAGACACAAAAGGGAAAACCAAACGATATATTTTGAATAAATCACCGCCTATTGCACAAAAAATATAAAAAATCATTAACATAATTATTAATATAATGAACTCAAAAACAATCCGAGCTACTCTGACGAAATAGATCTTTAATTTTGAGATCTCTAGTTGCCTCTTTCTCTGCAAATTTAGCAGATTTTTCATTTACGTTGGTATCAGGTACAGGCACAGGGTTTTGACGACGTATTCCAGACGTAAGTGCTTCCAAAATTTCTTAAGAGATCACATTTTTGTTTCTTTCCACGACTGATCTCTGTTTGACATTAGTATGACATTTTTAATGTTGTACCTTTTGCAGAAAGTTTTATGGTATATTGATTCTCAAACCAGCTCTTACTTGCATTATAAAAGACATGTTTGTCGTTTTCTTCACTGTTAAGCAAAACACGATCAGAAATACGGCTGGGTCGTTAATCGAGGTTACTGTTGTACGAAGTAGCTGTTAATCGAGTTATTAGTGTATAGGTTCTTCTGAGACGCTCTTCTCAGAATGCTAATCGGTACATTGTTCTTATCAATGTAACCGTAATTTTATGAATTGAATTTGATATGATTATATGAATTTGATATGAATATGTCAGAACTTTGTAAACTTTTATAATTTAACACATGTAGTATGAAAATAGTATGTGGGCTTACCTATTAAATAGTGTGCTAATCCGATTTATCCCCTTGTGAAATTCATTTGTGTCCAAAAAGTCTAAACCAAATTAATATAGTTACATCACGCAAATTTGAGTATGGGCTGCCAAATGTATTTATATTAATTTTGAAAGAACGACACAAGTTTTCTTGTTCATTGGTTACTTTTGCAAGAGACGAGTCGGTGGTCGGATCGTTTTTTTAGCGGCTTGTGTTTTTTCAATTGGATTTGGTTTTAAGGCTGGTATGTATCTTCCTCCAAAAAATTCGTGTTTCGTGATTCATGATTCGTGATTCGTGATACTTGATACGTGTTTCATGACTTCAGTTCGAATATATGTTCAACTTTTTTCAATTAATTCTGGAACTTGTTAAAAATATTTTATAGTATTAAGAATTTTTGATTTGTTTTCGCAACCGACAAGAACTTGAAACAGCCGCCAATTTTGCTTGTTCCAAGAAATAACTGCAAATATAATGCACATATTAAACAAAAAGTTTTAAAGAAATCATTGTTTCTTTATTTAAAGAATTTTAAAACTATAATTAAAAAACAAAAATTAACTATAAAAAAAAATCACTGCAATTCACATATATTTAAGGTTATGTGACGTATTTGCAAAAAAAATCTCCATTTGAAATATTTATATAAGAATCATTGCGTGATGAGACTTAAGAAGGCGGCGGCAGTATTATTTTCGACATACTTTAAACATAAGAGTGCAATTGCTTTATTCCCTAATAATCAATGTTAAAAAACATATTTTTAATTTTAATAGTCAATTTTAAATACCGTTTCATATGTTATGATTGAGGAGTTCGTAAAAGCGGTCGTGATTTGAATGTTTGAAATTTGGTTCGTTTTATAGAAAACGGAATAATCAGGTATTCCTTTATTTAGATTTTGCTTACTTCAAAATGGATACTTTTGGAACTGGTGCAACTCAATCTGAAAGGAACGAGTGTGGAGTTTTAAACTCAAACTTAAATCATTTTGATGATTTTATGGAGAAATTTCCTGCAGACCCTGCTTACATTGGTGCCATAATTGGTCGTGGCGGTTGTAAAATTAAAGAAATTAGAACAAACTTCAACGTTTATATACATATAAACAATGACACCAAGGAAATTTCTGTCAAGGGTCGTAATAGAAAAAATGTTGACGATGCAGTCAAATATATTCGTGATATTATGTCTGGTCAAGAAAATAGAAATTTTTCATTTCCAAATCACGAAGTCTCGCACAATCCCAAAGTTGTATTAAAAGAAAATACAATGAATCGTTTTAATGCTTCTTCCGAAAATGACAATATTCAGGTTGCAGCTCCAAAATCTGTAAGTATAAATTAAAAAGAAGGAGAATATGGATATATATTAATATAATATCTCATAACAAAATTGATTTAGGGAGAAAGTGGTGGAATTAGATTAAATGCGCCTACGAAAAATGTATATAATGGTGGCGCCGAAAACCATGTAGTATTGCAGCCTATCGATTGGGAAACTTTGAATAGAAAAGTTGTAAGAAAAATTTTTAAAATCTACATATTAAGTTATCGATTTACCATATTTATTTTGCTCACATGAGGCATTTTTGATTACAGGAAGAACATCGTAGGTTACACTGGGCGCATCTGCCAGACTTGAGAAAAAATTTTTATGAAGAAGTAGAGGAAGTCGCTATTAAGACAGAAGAAGAAGTGAATGAAATGCGTTATTTAAACAATAATATAAGTGTTTCCCGTTTGGTGACAAATGAAGATCAAATGTGTCCTGATATACCGAAACCAATTTGGAAATTTCAACATTGTTTCAAAGATTATCCTGATATCCTTGATGAGTTAAAGAAACAAAATTTTAATGAACCATCACCAATACAGAAGCAAGCATGGCCTATATTATTGAGAGGCGAGGATATGATAGGTATAGCCCAAACAGGGACTGGAAAAACTTTAGCATTTCTGCTTCCTGCTTTGATTCATACTGATGGACAGACTACACCACGTGAGAAACGTAATGGTCCAAATATATTAATTTTAGCGCCAACGCGAGAATTAGCATTACAAATAGCAAAAGAAGTTAACAAGTACTCGTTCCGTGGAATAAAAGCGTAAGTTAGGAAATAGTTAAACCATAGTTTAAAATGAATGAAGAAAAAAATTATTATGAAATTCTTATTCAGTGTATGCATTTATGGTGGTGGGAATCGTCGTGACCAAATTAGTGTTTTCAAAGAAGGAGCTGAATGCGTTATTTGTACTCCTGGACGTCTTAATGATTTGGTTCAAGCTAAAGTTATAGACATTACATCAGTTACATATTTAATACTAGACGAAGCGGATCGTATGCTGGATATGGGTTTCGAGCCACAGATCCGAAAAATTCTACTCGACATACGTCCTGACAGGCAGACCGTCATGACTAGTGCCACCTGGCCACCAAGTGTTGGTAGATTGGCCGAAAGTTATATGAACAATCCTATTCAAGTGTGTGTTGGTTCGCTTGATTTAACTGCCACTCATACTGTGAGTCAAAATGTAGAACTCTTGGAGGATGCGGACAAATTTAATACGGTAATATTATTTGAAAACTTAAATAAGAAGAATTATGAAGAACAATGTATTTATTCTTGTTGCAGGTCCTTGCATTTTTAAAAAACCTTAAATCAACCGATAAGGTTATTATCTTCTGTTCTAAGCGAGCTCGTGCTGACGATTTGTCCAGTGATTTATCTCTAAAAGGCCTGTCAACACAATGTATACATGGTTCTCGTGATCAGGTACATAATGCATTAACTTAATTAGAGTAATGTCTCAGAATATAAAATTCTTATAAACTTAAAAAAAATTGTCTTTAGACCGATCGAGAACAAGCACTGGCTGATATAGCGTCAGGTGATATACAGGTTTTGATAGCGACAGATGTTGCTTCAAGAGGTTTAGATATTGAGGATATTACGTAAGTGCTTAGTAGTATTTGAAACCGAATTTGTTGTATTAATTGTTTTTCATTTAGTCATGTTATTAATTTTGATTTTCCGCGTAATATTGAGGAGTATGTTCATCGTGTTGGTAGAACTGGACGCGCTGGGCGAACTGGCACTGCCATAAGTTATATAACACGCTCGGATTGGGGTGTTGCAAAGGATCTCATTCGTATTTTAGAAGAAGCTGGTCAAGCAGCTCCAGAAGAACTATACAGAATGTCCAATCGTTTTGAGAAGATGAAAGAAAGACGTGGTACAGATTTTAAAAGGGGTGGTGGTTTTAATCGCCGTTACTAAATGATATTTTTTTAATATATGGTAGGGGTATTATTCGATAAACAAGATCGTGAATAACCCTGTTTGATTCGAACCGATCAGTGTTTTACTTAAAAAAGTGTTGATCGTTAAAATATTGAAAATTAATTAATAAACTATTTCTAATGTTATTAGTATAATAATGTACAATAAGAAAAATCTAAAATAAAATTAATTAAAAATGTGTATTATTTAAATTGAAATACAAAATTACATTTTAGAATAAGGTTTTAAAGAAGAAATATTTAAAATATGTTTTTTATACAGTGAACTTTGTTAATTTAATAAATTTAATCAATTACAACTTTATGATGATTCTATTGTGTTCTTACTTTTTCGTTTGTAAAAGTTTCAACTTTTTCCTGAAAATAAGATATTTTATTTGAAATTTTTTTAAGATGGAGATTAATTATTTGTACAGGCAATGATGTGAGTTAAATATTGTAATCGCTATATACGATTTTTAATCAGAGGCTGATAAAGTCGATTAAATTTCTGTATTAGTAAGTTTTCTAGTTGTTCCATTTAAAATGAATTAGTTTTAATGGGATTCATAAATGTATTTGGATGAGGTATAAAATGAACTTAATATAAAATATATATTTATTTCACATTATACATTTTTAATTTGAATGTTATTTTAAACAGACAATTGATAGACAATTGATCACTGCTTAAGTATAGTACTGTAGTCAAGTCAAGGTCAAGTCAAGCCAATGAATGCCATTATACTAACTTGAAATCTTTACTATCACTTCGAATGATCATTTCTCACTAAGCCATAGATAAGACCTCCTAAGAAATAAATTCATCTGATCAGTTCATAAAATTATAAACAATGTCAACATAGCGATGGCGAAGATCGTTATCGATGTCATTTGAAATAAATCTTTAATTTAATTAATTTAAATAATAAACGTCATTTAATTTAATAAAATTTGTTAAAGTTGTATACATATTTATATAATCTTATATGAAATATTTAATAAAAGTAGCTATACGCAGATACATGTTTCCATGGCTGTCTGATTAAATGGAAAAGAAAGAAATGAGAAAGCACGCTTTCCAAATATTGATAAATTTTTATCTGTGTTGAGAGTTGAACCACAGTATCCTAAATATTGAACTAAGCTCGCTTTAGATGGTGATTGCAGACGCCAATAGAATTGTGAATTGCAATCTTTTGAATTGAAATGGCATATCCGTTAGAATTATTGGATTGCGGAGATTAAAGACATCTTTACCTTTGAGAGAGGTCTGTAATATTTGTATGATTAATATAATATTGTGATATATGATAATTGATACTCCGATTTTCAATCACAGTAAATGGGGTAGAGTCGATTACGGTTAGAGTGAATTAAAAAATTCTGTTTGATATTTAATCCGTTTGTATGATTTCTTATTTACATGTCGGTTGCTAATTAACAGAATTTCAAAGTGAATTGAGTAGCTCTTCAAAATGATGTAGCATTTATCATTATCATTTTGGAATGAAATTATTTCTCAATATTTTATAACACTCGCGACAAAAGATTGGCCATTGACAAATCAATAGACACAAAAGGGAAAACCAAACGATATATTTTGAATAAATCACCGCCTATTGCACAAAATATATAAAAAATCATTAACATAATTATTAATATAATGAACTCAAAAACAATCCGAGCTACTCTGACGAAATAGATCTTTAATTTTGAGATCTCTAGTTGCCTCTTTCTCCGCAAATTTAGCAGATTTTTCATTTACGTTGGTATCAGGTACAGGCACAGGGTTTTGACGACGTATTCCAGACGTAAGTGCTTCCAAAATTTCTTAAGAGATCACATTTTTGTTTCTTTCCACGACTGATCTCTGTTTGACATTAGTATGACATTTTTAATGTTGTACCTTTTGCAGAAAGTTTTATGGTATATTGATTCTCAAACCAGCTCTTACTTGCATTATAAAAGACATGTTTGTCGTTTTCTTCACTGTTAAGCAAAACACGATCAGAAATACAGCTGGGTCGTTAATCGAGGTTACTGTTGTACGAAGTAGCTGTTAATCGAGTTATTAGTGTATAGGTTCTTCTGAGACGCTCTTCTCAGAATGCTAATCGGTACATTGTTCTTATCAATGTAACCGTAATTTTATGAATTGAATTTGATATGATTATATGAATTTGATATGAACATGTCAGAACTTTGTAAACTTTTATAATTTAACACATGTAGTATGAAAATAGTATGTGGGCTTACCTATTAAATAGTGTGCTAATCCGATTTATCCCCTTGTGAAATTC